AAAATAAATAATATATAATATATATATATATGTGTGTGTGTGTGTGTGTGTGTGTGTGTGTGTGTGTGTGTGTGTTCGTGCATTAAGAGATGTGTTTAGATTTGTGTTGTACTAAAATTAAACTTCCGACTTGGGCGAATCACAAAGCCTGGGCACGGGGAAGGAGATAAATTTGTGGGCCGCGTACATAGCCGCATGCGATCCTTTACATGTATCTCATATATCAAATCCCACAGAGGCACTCATGCAGAATGCCGCTCGCAACGAATAGTTTCAGTAGTATGCCTATTTGCAAGTCGCGACACGCTCAAGTCGCCGTAAGTCGTCAATCTCGAAGCTTTGACTACATTACGTGCGTGTGTTCGATCGACCGAGGTAAGAGCGGAGATCCGACCGCGCGCGATCCAGAGGCAAATCGTTGCTGCACAGAATTAAAAACATCCCGACAGGTTTTCGTGAAAGCCTCGTGTGCGTTCCTTCTCAGCGCAATTAAGATGAAGGTATAAGAACGGGATGACGTGCGAGAGGGAAAAGAAAAAAAAAAAAGTACTCCGCCTCACACGACAAAAGTGGCGAATTGGAAGGCAACGAAATATCGATCACTCGCAAAGGTTGACTGCGGGATCGAGCGCGCGGCTCCAAGGTCGGCGCACGAGAGCCGCAAAGTTTATCAGATCACTTTCACCATTGAGAGGATTTTAACGGTGCGCGGCTGCCAAAAGCACGAGAAAGACGATAATCGGTCCCGATCCGCCGCCGCTGTGCCGCCGGTAATAATTCGTAATCCGGGGACTGTGGAACCAACCGCTGACACCGAATGGGACGGCAATTTACAGTATAATCGTTGATTGCGCGACTCGATGAATCGTTATTCAAATCCGCGTGACGCGATGCCGTGGGAGGCCAGCGGACTGGAAATGGGCCCGGGGGACCGGGAGAGCGAGCGGGTGCCTATGGATGCCAATTTCCCGATCATTTCACGAGCTGTTTATTATTTTACCGTCACGAATAATTTGGAATTTAATACGGATAGCGGATGGCCGGAGTATCACCCGTCGACGCGAAATCTCCTATTATTTCCGTGTGGGAGGAGGAAGGAAATGTGTAACTTTCAGAAATGAAAAAAAATCTTTCCTCTGAAGAAAATTATTGCGAGATCTCTCGAGATTTGATTAATTTCGACGTAGAGCTTATATACACATGCCTCTATTTGTCATTTTTTTTTATACTTAGATTAATTTCTATAATTAAGTCAGTAATTCTGATATTTTCTTGATATACGCGGATATTTAACATAATTATGCTGAGATAACCGTGAAATAAATTATATTATATTTATGCTAAGATATACGTCATAATACGTTTCACCTAATTTTCAGACCAGTTGGCCTTCTGCCAAACTTTCAATACCGGTTCAATAATGAGCTCTCATTTTTATAATTTATAACTTGATCGTCTGTAGACTATTTATGTTTCTATTGTTGATTCAAAAACTGATAATTTTTAATTTTTCTTCTATTTTACCAATAAGATATTGTCATCATATCTACGTAATTTCGAGTAAAATAAATTAAAGTTTGGAGCTCATTACAATCGTGACAGACGATAGTTGTTTCCATGAAATTTGGGTCTCTATTACAAAAATTAACGGTCATGTTAATTTTATTTTGCACAATATCGACAGCATCGATTTAATTTCAAATTTACTTACATTACAATACATTATTATTAGAAGTTTTATTAAAGTTTTATTCCGGTGAAAATATCATTGGAATTTGCATTTTTATACATTTTTATTCTATATTACTTAATGTGGCGATCCGCCACTCGTATGATAAAACTGTTACTTGTTGCTCGTAAAATTTGTGGAATTGATATAGCATTTCCTTTCGCTGATTTAGCGTATTTGATAAATCGCGCGCCTCGTATTCGGCTTGTATCGAATTTCGAAATAAATGAAAATTATAGACGGCCATTTTTAACAATAACAGGCCGTTTTGCCAGCTAATTAAAATTATCACAAAGAGCCGGTAACGCGCCGATTTCAGCAGCATATCCGATGCCATTTCTCTCTCTCTCTCTCTCTCTCTCTCTCTCTCTCTCTCCCCTCTCTCGCTTGCGTATTTTTCTATATGCAAACGAAGCCACTGTCGAATAATATGCTGGCCCGATGCGTTCTCATTGAGATTCCACACAGCAATAATCAGCCGATACAGTCGACTATTTTACTCCGACAATCGCATTGTAAGCGCAATAAAGTATGCAAAATTTATTGGCAACGGTCGACGTCCCCTCCGTTTTCTGATGCATATATATGCTATCCGAACACAGTACGAAATTATTACATTTTACAAAATACTGGGTCATGGGATCAGTCACCATTTTAGTTATAACAACGTAACGTCTTATCGTGAAATTTGCAGAAATTGCATAATGACATGCGAGTCCGCGGACATATAAATACATTCTCGCGTACAAATATTTATTTAAGAAGATTCCGATTATGCGGAAAGGTTAAGATGATCGCAAAACAGAGAGAAAATATTAAAAAATCGATGCTGAAAAAAGAAAAAAAATACAGAGTGAAGAATTTATTAATAATCTCTAATAGCGTTATTAAATTCCGTTTCGTTATTTAAATTACGGCAATAATTACGTAAGCTGATCGTTTCGAGAAACAATTTGTACGTTATAGATTGTGGAGGAAGAAAGAGAAGAGGAGGGAGGGGGGGGGCGCCAACGCTCCGTTAAATATACTCGTTTCCGGAAACGTTCGATTCCTCGATGTGTACACTTCTTCTTTTCGCGGGATTTCCGAAAAGAGACACGGACGTGTTACTATCCTCATTTGTTGTTTGATGCGCCGTTTGACACGTTTGGCGTGTGCTAGTGTGTGCGCACGACCTGATTCACGCCGAATCGCAATAAAGCGCTATTGGATCGTTAAAATGAAACAGTAACTAGACGGAGACAACGGCGGGACGCAGTCACTAAATGTACGATTCGTTGTACAAAAATCCTGACAGAAATTGCTACACTAATCTTGCATGTCGTTCTTGAGCGCAGCTGCATGTAACGTAATTTTTTATCATAAATACACCGAAAAGAAACTAAGAATTAGTCTTATAAATCAAGAATAAATGTTCTCGTATATAAATAAATATATTATAATATCCATTGTAATATTATAAAAAAAAAATTATAATTACATAGAAGATTTTTATTTAGAAGAATTATATAGAAGTCTTGAGTTGAGCACAAGTAATACTTGCATCAAATCAAATTCAATCAAGTCAAGACTAAACTTTTTAAGAAGATTGTAATATTCTTGCTTATGTTATATATGAGAATCTATCTTTCTTAATTTAAAAGTAACTTTTTTTTCTGTGTCAACAAAATTAAAAGTTTAGTGAATATCCGATATAATAATTTAAGAATAAGGAATACAAATAGATATTGAATCAAAATTATATCGATTAACAAACTGACGGGAAACTGACAAGAACTTCGCTACAAATTTCAATGGAAATTTGTAGAGATTCTTTCTTTGTTTTTCAGTCTCATTTTTATTTATTTCTTTTTTAATAGATCATCGTTCGGATCAATGAGTCACTGTATGTTTCATTTAAATCAAAATCGTGGAAGCGCAATTTTGTTGTCCAACGATCGCACGTGATCCTAATAAGCGCGTCATCCCCAGATGCTTGACAAATATTTTTTTAAACAGTCGCCGGCGCTTACACCTGCTTTAAAATCGTCCATTATCGAGCGCACTTTATCGGATCATTGTTATTGACATTCACAAATAAAATCAGTAGCCAATTTAAAAATTGCACTGAATTACTGCACAGATATATGCACGAATTATCATGTATTTGTAAAAATTCTTTTTTTTTTTTTAATTTTCGCTTCTGTTTTTATTTTCAGCTTTCAACAAACTTAGGCAACATCTTCTGAACTATTTCTGGGACATGCCTGATATGTCGAACATCCCCGAAGGAGCAAATACCACCTCCACCGTTAAGGTAAATACTCAACAGATCCAATTTACAAATCGGATCAATCTGTTCACGAATTAAAGATTTCGCTATCGTTTTTTCAAAGATCTACGATTGATAAATGAGATCATATCGCATTGTCGCTTCTAATAGTTCGATTGCAATTTTGATCATTCCAAGAGCAATTAATGACGTTATATAATCTGCTTTAAATTACTAGATGGTTATGATCAAACTGATTATAATCATATTTAAACGATTAGACGCCTAATACTTTGGAGATATATTTCGAAAATAAAAGTTATTTCACAGTAAATCTATTAATAATTTGATATTTAATATTTTTCTCTTTACTTCTTTTAATTAAACTTGAGTTCACGACACATATCTGATTTAATCACGAGCTTGGTTCAGTTCAAGTCCACAAATACCCTTGTAGAAATTTAATACTGCTAGGTAGTGATTAATTATTTATCTCGAATGTTCGAAATCACACCGAGTAACTAAGTAATTTCCAATATTATATCGGTCAGTATTAACTGAGATCTCCGTAAGTCGCTAAGAATTCTCTTCGGTGCGCCCGGGGCATGTTTCCAACATTCTCGACCGGAGACGCCCGTCACATTTCGAATGATGAGATAATATCGATGCGTTTTGCGAGAAGCGAGTGAAATAATCCCCGACGACACGCGAGAGGAAGTTCCGCGTCGTGCGGACCGGGCCGGGCCCGGATGCGGAGAGATAATGCATCGCTAGCAATTTACCTACACGTGTAAACCGCAGCGACGAGATGAAGAGGTACAGCGGGGGGAGGGAGAAGAGAATTCCCTTAACAATGGATACGGTAGCGCCAGGGGTACGGCGACGGGGGACGGGACAAGAGGAGGGGAGGGAGGGGGTGATCGGATTACCGCATTTCCCGTCGCGTATTGTTACACGCTCGGAATCTGCGCGCCGCCGTCTCCCTCCGATATGTAAGTCGCTTAATGCGACTCGTCGCACAAAGCGCGACCAACGGAAGTGGATAACTGCCCGCCGAAAAGTTCGCCCCTTATTCCGCGATCCCTCCTCGTCGGACAGACGCGGCGCCGTTCGCGTGCAAGACCCGCCGGTCGTTTGCACGCGAACGGTCGCGGGGGAGGGAAAAGGGAAGAAGGAGGGAAAAAGGGAAGAAGTTTAATCTCCTTCCAAAACGTTACGAACTTTCCGAGAGCTCTTCCCTCCCTTACGCATACCTTTTCATTAACGTACGATTATTATCTGTGATAATCAAGACGTTTAATCGCGAGTTTTTCTTATTAAAAAAAACATGGGTCTTGCTTACGAGTGATATACTTCTCTGCCGTTTAGACGACGAGGAATCAAATTACATCGAATATGTAAGAGCGCATTAACGCATTAAGAACGATGATATGCGAAATTCAAACGTGATTTAGCAGTTTGTTAAAAAAAAAAAACATGTAGAAATATTACATGAAGACTTTCCTCGTTGCCTTTCACATATAGAAAGATGTAGAAAGTTTAATTTAATAGAGCGATCCTAATAATTCAAATTGAAGCACTATGTATCTCCTTGTTAGCAGAGTAAACCGACGCATTGTATCGCACTGTCATACGGTAAAACGCAGTTTAATTCACGCAGCATTGTGAATTCTTCAATAATATAACTTAATTAATTTTGATGATGCGTTTGTCAGTTGTGGAAATGTTGTTCAAATTGTTTGAACATCCCAAATCACTTGCGCTTCTGGACCGGCTCCTTTCCTTCGAGCACGCGCACCTTCCTTACATCACGCTATTTTTACAAAAGGACTACAAAATCGAGTTACATTTTGAGAAAAAAAGGATCGTGAATCAATTTCCGCGTTTATTCTTTTTAAACTGTATTCACATGCGGCTTTGCGCATGTGAATAAATTCTGATAGAAGAGCCGGAAGGCAGTATTCCGGATGTATCACGATTAATTTGAATCATCTAATTGCAGATAATTAACGGCCATGTGGTAACAATCAACGAGACGACTTACTCCTCTGGCGACGACATGAGCGGTACCGCGTTCCGCATTCGCATAATCGATGTGAAGCCACTGAATGACACCGACGCGATCGCCGGAGGCAACGCGGGACCAAACGCGGGACCGACGACGGTGAATCCGGAGACACCGGAGAGCCGCGAGACGGTCGAAGACTTCAACAACGAGATATCGAAAAGCACGGACACGCTGACCGCTTGAGAGACAGTCGGCTGTCGGTTTGAACTGGAACATGCCGGTAACCGGCCAGTTTCCAGTTGAAATTTCGGGGGAAAGGAAGAATGACCTTTATCACGTGGCTGTAGTAGAGTAACTTGCAGTGCCACATACCGAGTGTGCATTGCAGATTAAAGTAAACGTTATTGTAATATATTACATATTATATATATACATATATATGTAGTTGTGTTTCTGTTGTTTCCTGTCGCTTTTCGATACGATCGATAGTTACTTTCCTGTATCTCTCTAGGAAAGAAAAATTTTTTCGTCGCTGGAAGGATAAGCTGGGATATTTATAGATACGTAAATAATATATGAGCAATACGAGTTGAAAAGGGGAAGGGATTAATTGGTTTCAATTAAAGTAATTTATTTGATTTGAATTAAATAACTAAAAGCTTTTAAACGAATGCTAAATTAAAATCCTCGATTAAACGTAAAACTAAAATTGATAGAATTTGAAACGCTTCTTGTTTTTCTGTGAATGATCAGATTCTATATGGGCTATATGGGGACTAAAATGGGCTTAAGAAACATCCATCGATAATTAATATAGAAATAATATGTTACTTTATGATTTCTTAATAGCTTAATCAGTAATATTATAAAAAATATTTAGATGGGTAATATATACAAATTATGACATATAATTGCTATGATCCTTTTATTTCCTACAATTCGTTCACATTCCTACACATCACATTCGTCTCGAATATGGCATGTCCATGAATAATAATATTACATGAAACCACACTTTTATTTATATAGATCAAGAGACTCCTAATTACACCACCTTCAATGTGTAGAGCAAACTCACCTTCAACGAGATTGCTGTGGGCTGAATTCCACAGCTAAAAATCGTAGGAGACGGAAAAATTAGAGTCAATCGAGCTCGAACTTGAGATTGCGTATTTTATAACTTTTACCAATAATGTCGTTATCATTATGTTATGCAATTTTTTCATTATATATTATGCATAATGACAAGATAACGATAATGATACTATCGTTAAAAGTAACAGAATAAGTCTATAGGATCCTTTGGTTGCTACATGCGACATTTAATCTGCGATAGCTCCCTACAGAACTGTGTATTTTTCAGACTGATTACTTTAAACCCCTTTCTAATTTGTAATATGTTTATAAGTCCATATATATCCGATATTTCGAAATGATGTTAAAGGTTTTTTATATATTTTATAAATTACTGGAAATGAAACTGGTAGCTATTATATGATATTTGGTAATCGACATAAATTTTTTATATATAATTCTTGCATATCTCGTTTCTGACTGATATAAATGCAAAAAAAGTGAAAGCATTGACAGACGGAACCAAATATTTCGTGTATCACTAATATGTTATGCTAGTTTACTAGCCAGTATTTATATATATGCAAGGCCATTTTGTAATAACTAATTTTACCACTTTATCGTCCGCCAAGTGAAATCTATCTATGCCAATCCAGCTTGTCTTGATTCACGCGACCAAATACGAATGTGAAGTAGAATATGTCACATTACTTTGTGTACTTATGGTATGAAGGCTTCTATCCTGTGAAAGATTGCAAAGCTGTGTGTTATTTAATAAATCTGTGCTTTTCCCATGCGCATCCTGATATCCCGTCCCTTTCTAGTTTCCTCGGTAATAGCATCTTTAGTATCCAAAAAACACAAATATCAAGTAATATCTGTATGATTAATACATGTAATCAAATATCTATACAAGTAAACGTTTGTAATCGATTTACGGAGGAAAAGTTTAATAAGAAGTCAATTTATAATTCCTCTCTCACGAAAAAATGGAGAAATTCCTCGTCGCAATTTTTTATAATTTTATGAAAGGAATATATGTTCACTAATACGTACGTTGCGCTAATTTCGCATATTTTTATATACGTACAAATATATATACGTATAGATATATTTCTTTAAATTGTAAATCATATTGTAAGAGGAAAATTGCTATAATAAAATTAAATATTCTGATAAGAGAAAAACTGATGATAAAATTAAATAAAATTTCTACATATTCTAATAACATCATGTATAATATATAATGCGCAATAATACAAATATGTAATATTGTATATAAATTTTTAAGATTTAAATATTTCATTCTAATGATTTTAACTTCATATTTTTTAACTTTATAAGAGAGTTAAGTTAAGAAATGAGATCCAAATCAAACAATAAATAGGTAATACACAAATAAAAAAATGAAATCATTCTAAATTTAGAATCGTTGAAAGAAAAAAATATAAATATAAAACGTATTGAGTAAATTTTTAAAATTATTTGTAATAGCTACATTCCTTATAGATATTTAATACTGGAAGATACTTAATTATTTAACTTGAATATTAAAAGCACTAAACAACAGTAATGTTTAATACTCAAAATAAGCAATTACTAGTATTATATTGGGTAGTATTAAATTAAATTTCTGTAAAGGATATAAAGATAACGATATTATAACACATTTACATAAAATTTTTTTATTACTATTGTACAATTTAATACTGTCCATTTTTTTAAATGACAAATCTTTTTTTAATAAAGAAATAACATGTGTGTAGCACAGAATAAATAAATATCGACATTTTCGTTATCAAGTGAGATCTAATTTTTATAATAATTTCTGTAAACTTTAATATCTCATCCTTTTTATAATTACGTCAATTATCATTCGGTTACGACTTATAGTTTTCAATTTATGTCAAGGCTGTAAATGTGATAGAATATTAAATCGAGATATATCAACGAGACATTCCTCAACCATTTAAAAATCGCGCGTTCGCGGATTTCAGAAAAATGGCGCGCCGTCGCGTTTGTCAAAATTGCCGCGCGTGACAGTGCTTTTTCTATGACCTAGTTACATCAGAACAAAGAGAAGCTTGAGAGCGGCCATTTCGGCCTTTTTATGGGATTGTGAAAAACCCTATACACTACCGCGCATATCCATTTTTGAATTTGAAACTACATAATATTTATTTCCCAACACTGCCGATAAAATCGCATTCTGGTGCGTGGTGGGCATTCTGCATCCATTCATGGATCAGGAATATGCTTACATAATTATATAAGCGCATAATTTTTTTATTGTAGATTAAAGTGCTGATTAACTTTAATATAAGCTGAATTCCGTAAAACGCATATATGCGCACATATGCGCTTTACGGAATTCAGACATAGTATACATATATATGTATTTATTAATATGCTCCTATTATATAGCGTGTTTGCAAAAAAAGAGATTTTCTCCTTTTATAA